TGGACATATACAGGGTGTCCCACTTAAGATAGATACAAGCCAATATCTTGGTTGTTTGTTGAGCGATCTTTTTCATTTTTGGCAGGAGGCTGTATAAGACGTACATTTTGCCCAGGGTAAGAAATGCGATACCTCATAGACGTACGTTTTAATGGGGTTTGATATTTTTCGAGTCAAGAGCAAACTACCCTTAGGACAGTATTTATTTCAAATCTGATAAATTATATTGAATCCTCCTTACCTAAGATACTTAACTTCTAATTTTGATAAATATTAATACAGGGTGTGTTATTAAAATAAGACATTTTTATTTTTATTATTATTTTTTTAAGTACTTACGACGCCACTGGATAAACAATTGGTTTATTATCAATAACCAATTATAACCAATTATCAATAATTAATAATCGTTTTTTTATGGTGGTTTGGTCGACGATGTTGACTTTTAGTTCGTTATAGTTCTCGGTTATTGTTTTATAAATCTTTATTTAGAGCATATTTTTCAAAGTTAATAGTGATTGTTTTAAATATCTAACTATTTGGATTTTTTTTAAATATTCCTCAATAAAACGAATAAAAATCATATTTCAGATTCCATTGAAAACTGGGTTTTTAAATTATTTTGTAACTCATTTTATTCATTTGTATTAGCAAACTTAAAAAACCATTTTTTAAAGTAAACAAAATAAATTGAAAATATTTAGTTTTTTTGTATCGTATCTTAATTATTATAGAAGCTATCTGAAAACTTAAATCGATTATTAATTGATAATTGGTTATAATTGGTTACTGATAATAAACCTGTTGTTTATCCAGTGGCGTCGTAAGTACTTAAAAAGATAATAATAAAAATAAAAATGTCTCATTTTAATGACGCACCCTGTATCAATATTTATCAAAATTAGAACTTAAGTATCTTAGGTATAAGGAGGATTCAATATAATTTATCAAATTTGATATAAATACTGTCATAAGGGTAGTTTACTCTTGACTCGAAAAATATCAAACCCCATTAAAACGTACGTCTATGAGGTATCGCATTTCTTACCCTGGGCAAAATGTACGTCTTATTATTATAGAGCCTCCTGCCAAAAATGAAAAATATCGCTCAACAAACAACCAAGATATTGGCTTGTATCCATCTTAAGTGGGACACCCTGTATGTATACAGTAATTTAGATGAACTGAAAGTGCCATCTCTGTGGAATGCGAAACATTCTCCCCTTTGTATCTTCAACAACTTTGTATTGCGTTCGCCTTTCTTGAGTTATAACGAGTTATAACTCATCATACAGTTTCAGGGCTTTAACAAAAGCCAGTATCTGAGACGGCTCCTCAGAGGCCAGCTCTCCATCCTCGACATCAACCGTACCAAAATTCATGGCACGAACGGTCGTCGTCTCGGCGCACTCAGTGATAAGGTGTTCTGGTGTTTTCCGATTTTCTCCACAGGATCTGCATTCGCAGTTTTTCTCAGCTTTAGTTGAGGAGATGGTGTCCTGTTAGAAATCCCGTGACAATCCGAAGATTGCTTTACTTAAATCAAGGAAAATCTTTGATTTTTCTCGGTCGTTTTTCTGAGTTGTTTCGAGTCTCTGAGGATTTTTTTGATCGTTGGAGAACTCCCACTCCAGGTTAAGGATGGAGTCTGCCAGGTTCTTCATTTCCGCTTTTAGTTGGTTTCCGTTTGGGAAGCATAACGGTTCTGGTCCAGTTAGTGGAGTGTTTGCTCCTTTTCTAGCTAGATCATTTGCTTTTTCATTGCCTTCTATCCCTTGGTTAGCGGGCCAGAGTAGGAGGACTTTATTTTCTTTGCCTAATTTGTTCAGCTTCTCTAGGCATTCTTTGACCAACTTCGAATGTATGGTTACTGAGTTGATCGCGTTTACTGCTGCTTGACAATCTTGTAAAGAATATAATAAGTATTTAAATTTTGTAAGTAAAAATATATTGTATGGTGCCCGGTGGCGTAGAGGTACAGGCTCTCGTCTACCAATCTCAAGGTAGTGGGTTCGAATCCTACACCCGGCATTTCATCAGCCGACTATTTTTATTAAAATAAAAATAGTTTGGGTACCTAGGTCGACTCAGCCTTAAATGAGTACTTGGGATTCACAATCCTAAGGTAATAATAGGCGGTTGAAGCGTAGTGCTAGCCACATTACCTTCCTTGTATACCGAACGGCGCCGGCGCTAGCATGGCATGCTGTACCTTGCTACTCCCAAGGCGTTAAACGCTATATACGGGAGCTATTATTATTATTATTATTAAAAATATATTGTTAACATCCTATAACGATTGAAGTGTTCCTCGTAACCAGTCTTGTTACGGTTGAGTACCACTCACTCTCTACTTCGACTGGAGTTATTGCCGGCACTTTCTCTCCAATTTGATAGAACTACGATAACCGCCGCCTTCCTGTTGACTTTGATTCTTGACCGTTCTGCTATAAATTTAAGGTTAATCGAATTGTCGTTGTTACGAAATTCTAACAGAAGTTTCTCGAAAAAGGTCTGTTTTCTTTAGAACTAATGGACCGTTTAACACAATCAAGACATTGGCGGTTTCAAAATAAAAGACAGATGAAAGTTATTGCATACTTAAACTTTATTTTGTACAGCCTTGAGATGATCTAATTGGTAACATTGTGAATGTATTTACAATAATATCTACATCCTTATCTTAATGTTTTAACATATACTTAACACTAAACAGATTAAGGAGTTATATGGGTAATACGTTACATTTATTTTTACATATTATCGCACTAAAGAATAAATAACATAAAATTTTATGAAATTGGTAGGGGTAGGGATCACAGGAGATATAACTAATGTATAAATTGAGAGATTCTTATAATAAAATTTGAAAGTCATCAAAATGTTTGCAATATACAGGGTAGGGTCTTAAATAAGTGCACATATTTTCAGGACTGGTAGATCTCGATAAAAGACATATTTTTTCGTTTTTCAAATTAGTCCAAAATAGCCGAGTTATATTTGAAAATTATAACAAATAATGTTTTTTTGCTGAAATTTTGAGAATAAATGGATTTTTTTGGATTGTGTTTTTCTTCCTCTAAAATTAATCTATTACGTATGTTGCCATATTATAAAAATATGTTTTTATCTAATTTTTTTTAAAAAATCCAATTATTTTCGAGGAATACAAAATTATTTTTCGCGGAAAAAATATCATAGATGCTTTCCCGGGATCATAATATACCACCTTTAAAAATATTAGCACGTATGACTTACCCTGTATATGTACCCTTAATATACAGGTCTTTTCACGTAACTGATTCATTCAGATTAATACAAAATGATGAAAAAAAACGGCGTCAGAGATGGCTTTGAAATGAAAGGATGATTGCGATTTTATATGTAAAATTTTATGGGAATGTCATAGATCGTCATTTCCAAGCCAAGTGAGCGCCGTTTTTTTTTCGACCATACGAAATTTTCGTAGTAGTAAAATGCTACTTATTTAATGTTATTTATTCTGAACATGAACCATTCAAATTTGTGTCTAAATTACAAAATCCAAAAAAAATAATGACCCATTTACTTGAAAAGCCCTGTATAGATTGATATTAATATAAAAATAGTATATAATATATTGTGTGGGATGCAACAGTAGGGTTAGGTATACGTTCGAAACCCTTCAAAAGCTACTGAAAAAAGATTTGAGAACTACTGATATATTAATTTAAATTTAAATGTTTATACAGGATGAGTCTTAAATAGGTAAGTGCAAATATTTTCAGGAGTAGTGTTTTTCGACCCCAGAAACACGATTACCTATGACGTTTTTTTCGCGAAAAATAATTTGAAAATTATGAATTTTTTAAAAAAAAATTTAGAATTTTTTTTAGTTTTTAGTTAAAAAATATTATTAACATTGCAACCAACAACGTAGATAGTAGATTAAATTTACAAGAAAGAAAACTCAGAAAAGATCCCAAAAGTTGTTCTCAAAATTTAAGCAAGTTTTTTTTGGAAATTTTCAAAGTAAAATAACTCGGTTATTTTGGACTTATTTGAAAAACGGTATAAAGAAAATATGTTTCTTTTATCGAGATCCCTTCAAATATTTAAACTTATTTAACACTCACTCTGTATATTTTTTTGAGCAAAATTAATGAGGATCATTAAGTTGGAAGTGAATTTACTGATCAGTAAATTCAATCTCTATACAGGGTGTCCCAGAAATAAGTATTTTAAATGGTAGTATAGTTCAACCCCAGAAACACGCCTATGAGGTTTTTTTGCGAAAAAAGAAATTTGAAAATTCGGAATGTTTTGAAAATATTTTTAGTTTTTATTTAAAAAATTGGCGCCGGGAGGCACGTATAGCCGCCCATACTACAATATGTTAATATCTCGAAAATTGCGAGTTTGACTGATTTTGATGTTATTACAAATTTTGTTGCAAATATTATTCCTAATCTTAATTTGAAAACCGCGTTTCGCTAGCTACTGTAATTTTGGAGTTACGATTTTTTAAATTGTTAACCCCCTCCTATACCCCCTTAACAACCCCCCACCCCCACCAAAAACTAAAGGCCTAATTCTCGGGTGCCAAAGTATTTTTGTGCCAAATTTGGTTAAAATCGGTTCAGCGGTTTTTGAGTTATCTTGTTACAGACGGACAGACAAGACAGATAGACAGACAGACACCATGAAAATATTTTGTATTTAGGTCATTTATGACCCAAATAACTCATTTTGAGTGAAATTAAAAAAACTTTTTTTTGCTGATCCTAATAGCCCACCATACCTATTGGTATGGTCGGCTAAAAAAATAATTTAATTTTTAGTAGATTAAATTTACAAGAAAGAAAATCCAGAAAAGATCCAGTGGTTCTCAAAATTTTAGCAAAAAATCTGTCTCTTTGAAAATTTTCAAAGTAAAATAACTCGTTATTTTGGACTTATTTGAAAAAGGATAAAGAGAAAATATGTTTCTTTTATCGAGATCTACCACCTTTTAAAATACTTGCACTTATTTCTGGGGCACCCTCTATATTTTTTAACTTGTTGATTTCTTTTGTATAATTAATTGTTTATTATTCTTATACTTTAATATTTATTCCTAAATGACTAGTAGGTTAATATATTGATATGAAAGATCACAATGATCATACAAATAACTAGAAATATCCAATACACTTATAAATATTTAAAAATTTTACTATATGTATAATGTCTATGTATTTTTGTTTTTTATTTAAATGTTTTATTCAATTTATAAAAGATTTTTATATTTTATTCGTTTGGGATTTTGGGATATATATTTTTTGATTTCGATTTCAAACCAGAATAGTCCTTGATAATCGACTAGAAAGACCAAATTGATCAGGAAACCTTAGGGGTGTCTCACTTGGTTAAAAAAGGTACATGCACTGCCAAAATATCATCTCGTCGCGATCAGCGAACAAGTGTTAGTGGACGTCCATAGTGCACCAGCTTCCCCCTTCATACTGTATCGCGGTCAGGTTAGGTTGTGTTAAAAGGTTATGCACAATTCAAGCTATTTACTTACAAAATTATTAAAAATTAATCGATTTTAATCGAAATAAAAATTGTAGCATTTTTTTCAACGGTTTTAAATTTTGTTGAAAATATAATTCAACGTTTCTTTCTCCATGCAGAAATATTCGTAAAATGTTTGAAGGTGAGCTGTGAGTTGTGGATATAACACATTATATTTACCAAATTCAAAACTAGACCGATTAACTTCATGAATGCGAGTGCTGCTTTTTTGTATCAGTTTAATATGAACATGAGCACTAGCTAATAAAAAGACATAATAGATCCCGATCCCAGGAAGAACTCCATGATGCCGCATGAGTCGCATGACATTCCTGTAAGAGGTTGTTAATGACCACTACCTATTTCAATAGCGCAGGTTCACAAAGTAATAAGTCCTGCCGCGATATAAGCCCGCCACCGGGAAGCGGAAAGCCGGTGCACTATGGACGTACACTTATATTACAGCGTCATGACTTCGTTTATCTAAGTTAAGGTGCTTCCAGACCTGAGGCGAGAGCGAGACGAGAGCGAGACAAGAGCGAGACATCTTCTATCCATTTTTTGAGGCAAGCTTGCCACGACATAAGCCGAGTTGGATCATAGTGAAAGGAATCCAAACACATATTAAATTGCAATTGAATATAACAAACGATGGCCAAATAATTACGCATACACTAATGCATTTTTTTATATTAACATAATACTTGGTTCGTCATATTTTATACATCGTCGGTTTTTTTCCCCTTTAACCAGTGGAGGCTACAGAGGGGGGGGGCCATGGCGCCCGGGCTGCGCCTAAGATCTGTAAATTGGGTTAAATCTTAGGTTTTTGGGTTAAAAATGGCGCCCTAAAAAGCACATTCTACATTACTTTTTATTTTGGGCCCCCCCCCTAAAATAAATTCCTGTATCCGCCCCTGTCTTTAACCATTCGTTTCGAAACACGACGTCCTTTACAAAGTACGTTTTTTAATGTTTTTCAGAACAAAATGTTAAATAGAAAAGTTGTAGAAAAGGTTAAGAAGCACATTTTAAAATTAGGTACTGTAAAGGTATACAGGGTTCTTCAAAAAAGTGTTGCGGATATAACATATTATATTTTAATAAGAATACCCAATTTTTTATTTTATTATTAGCTTCTACGTACTACGTACAATTCGGTAATTTTTTTTATCTAAAATTAATATATTTTGTAATAATTCAAATTGTTTAAAGAAAGATTAGATTTTGGTACGGTAAAAATTATCAATGACGCAAAATCTGTAAATTCTATCAGAAAAAATTATAATACATACGGTGTCGGTGTACCATTTAAAAAATTGATATTATTTTGTTTTAAATAGTCGAAATTCATAAATTAGAGCTAATATTTCGCAGTCGAGCTAGCCTACCAAAAACACGTCCAGACTGAGCCGCGAGGGGTGGCACTCTGTAACGAAATAGCGATCGGTAGCGATGAAGAATACTGTCGCTTGCCAGAGTTAGTCGCTTGCTTAGTTACAGAGTTCCAGCCCAGCTTTCTTTGATCGGCCGTCGAAAAACCGACAGAGGACGGATAGCATCGAGGCTCTGTGGGTTGTAGTAAGTACCCGTCCACACTTGGCGAATTTGGAATGTCTCGCGCTCGTCTCGCTCTCGTCTCGTCAGGTCTGGACGCACCTTTATAGGTTTGTGTAAACTTTATAATAAATATTACAGTAAAAACAGTAATAATGGAATTTAGATTAACATTTTAATGCATTACTCTTATACCCCAATCCTCCTTGATCATATCGCTCGCTTTTTCCCCAATCATAATCGTCGGGGCATTAGTATTTCCACTCACAATATTGGGCATTATTGATGCATCGACCACCCTTAATTTCCCCACACCGTAAACCCTTAATCTCGGATCAACAACTGAATCCGGATCCGTATCCGGTCCCATCTTACACGTGGACGTCGGATGATAGATAGTGAAAGTAAAATGTCTTATACTACACTCCCAGTACTCGTCGGAATCAAAGTCGTACTGTCTACAACCGGGAAACGGTACTTTATGGGGCCTCGATCCGAATCGTTGAAACGCTTTTGTAGCTGAAACGTTTAAAGCGATTCTGATGCCTTCGGTGAGGACTTGAACGTCTTCTTTGTGAGTGAAATAGTTTGGTATAATGTCTGGATAGACTTTAGGATCTTTCGATCTTAGTCGTATCCAACCGTTACTTTTTGGTCGTAAGAGTAAAGGTAGGATGGTCCAGGTTTCGGCGTTTTTTAATGGTTTGTATACGGTGTTGTAGATGCTGTCTCTTAATCCAGTTATTTTTCGAACCTGAAACAACAGATGTAATTTTTAGTTAGTTTAATATGTAGTTTTAGTCTATACTTCTATACTACTATCTATACTAATCTATACTAATATATAAAATACTTAAGTGACTGACATACTGATTAATCACGATCCTGCTCAAACCACTCAACGTAAGAAGCTCAATTTTGGCATACAGGTTGATTCTAGGGTGTACAGGTTAGATAAGAAGGGATTTTTCGAAATTCCATTTCCAAGGGGGTGAAACCACCCCTCAAATATTACAATATTTTTTATTTAAAAAACGGTCAAGTTTCCGAAAAAACGCTTAAACACGTATATTTTATTTTGTTTTTTTTTACATATTTTAAGATTTTTTAAAAATGTATACAGGGCGTTTCGAAAAATCTGGTCATTGATTAATCACGATCCTGCTTAAAGCGCTTGACGTAAAAAGCTGATTTTTGGAAAACGGATTGACTTTAGGGTGTAGAGGTTCGATAAGAAGGGATTTTTCGAAACTCGAATTCTAAGGGGGTGAAACCACCCCTCAAATATTAGAATATTTTTTATTTAAAAACCGGTGAGTTTTTCGGAAAAACTCTTCAACCCGTATATTTTATTTTGTTGTTTTACATATTTTAAGATTTTTTAAAAATTTTTACAGGGTGTTTCATAAAATATGACCATTGAGTAAACACGATTCTGCTTATACTGCTTGACGTTTAAAGTTGCTTTTTGGCAAATGGATTGACTGTGGGGTGTAAAGGTTCGATAAGGAGGGGTTTCTCGAATCTCAAATTCCAGGAGGGTAAAAACGCCCCTGAAATATTACAATATTTGTTATTTAAAAAACTGTTAGTCTTTCGGGAAAACGCTTGGACACGCATAATTTTTTTTTGTTTTTTTTACATATTATGAATTTTTTTTAAAAATCATACAGGGTGTATATATGTGTTTAAGCGTTTTCTCGGAAATTTGGCCGTTTTTTAAATAAAAAATATTGTAATATTTGGTTTCATCCCCTTGGAACTGGAATTTCGACAACAATTCCTTCTTATCGAACCTCTACACCCTAGAATCAACCTGTATGCCAAAATTGAGCTTCTTACGTTGAGTGGTTTGAGCAGGATCGTGATTAATCAGTGAGTCGGTCACTTAGGGATTTTATATATTAGTATATAGATTATATGAGGAACGTCATCGATCGTCATTTCCAGGTCAACTGGACGCCGATTATACGATATAATTGAATGTAATAAATAAAAAATTCTATAGTTACCAATTTCAAATAGACTATACCTGATCAGGATCAGAATTAATGCTGCTAGGTGCAAAGTGGAATTGAATATCCGGCCAACTACCGGAACTTGGAGCGTATTTGGTGTTAACAAAAGCCAAACCTTCTACACCACCCAGTGATGTCATCGGACCTCGTTCTTTTAGAATGTATTCCAAAGCTACTTGGGGCGTCTGAAATCTACAATTCAAATCTGGAATTGGATATACGATGATTTTTACGTCACTGATTCATTAAAAGTTTTTTAGAATCTGATTAGAAATAGCTTTATCTTGAAACGTTCATATCTGTTATAGAACTTCACTGTGTCACATTTTTTAATTTATATTGTAAAAACTATTTTTCTTATATTTTTATACACTTTGTATACTAACTGGACCAGACCCGTTCTGCTCCCTAAGTGGAAGCCAACTTAAAGCAGAACTCAAGAACCGGAAGGCCTCCATCCATAACCTGGAATTGGAATCCTCCAACGGTCTTAGACACTGGAAGAAATTTCTCAGAACTTACAACCGAGAAAAATCAAAGCAATAACAATCTTCGGATTATCACGAGATTTTTAACAGGACACTGTCTCCTCAATAAACACCTCATTAGATTGAAGCTAAGAAACAACGACGAATTCACATTCTGTGTGAAAAATGGAGAAGTACCAGAACACCTCATCACATTCTTTTTATAATTAAATTTATATCTTTTTATGGCTGATGATGGCTGAATAGCTGAAACCCGTTACCAAATTTTAATAAACCTTTTATGGAGATTTGACTTTGATTGCACTTAAGCTACGTCCACACCAAAGAGACACAGAGGAACATTTTGTTGCAGATTGCCGCAACCGTTGTTTATGGAAACTGAAACAACAGCAAAAGTTCCGTAAACATTCTTTCCACACCAAGGTAACTCATTCTTGTGAATGTTTTGTTGTGTTGCTGCAACAGGAAACAGTGTCCACACCAGTGCAGTGTGCGTTTCTGTTTCTAGTTTACAATGTGGTCCGACGAAGATTTGCAGGCAGCAGCAGCTGCAATTGTAATAATTTTACAGAAAAAGAAAAAACGAGTCCGTAAATGTTGGACGAGACCAAGTCTTTTAGAAAGAAAGTCACATGGTGTTATACGTCTTCTGAGTTCATTAAAAAAATATGATATAGTATCAGAATGTATGCCATTTCCAATTCCATTACATATATCCACCTATAAATTCTGTTTTTGGTACCGGCCTTTATACTTTTTACCCGTGGATTCCACAAACACTCGGCATTTTGGTATAATGCATGTTTGTTTTTATTATTATACTACTAAATCAACTGATGATTTGGGCAACGATGCGACGGCTTCACGACACAAGTTTCGGGTTTTGGAAACAAGCAACAACCTGTCCACACTATAAAAATACCATCGAGGAACATAAAATGTTTACCAGTGTTTCTATATTTCCTTTGATCTTTGCCGCTAAATATGGAAACAAGCAACTTATAGAAACTTTTGTTGCTGCAACTGTAAACAATGAGGAACTTAAATAAACTTTTGGCAAGATTCATAAACAAGTTCCATTAACAAGCAACATAAACATAATGTTCCTAGGTGTGGCTTTCGGTGTGGACGTAGCTTTACATTTGATTCATATCTTTATCTAAATTTAATCCTAAAAAACCTTTAATAAACCATGTCAATATTTCTGAGTTATTTGATACGTAACTGTAACTAACAATTATGATTATTTTTCTTTTACCTGTCCCTAGTAAATGTTACTGGTTCATCCACTATGAATGTCATACCTCCCAGTCCTATATGATCCTGTAGATTGTGGCCAACTTTCAAATCACTTATTACAGGAATATTAAACTCCTCTAAATGGTCTCTGGGGCCTACCTACAACAACAATATATTATACGTATAGTTTGTCTAACGAGATGATATACAGTATGTCCCAGGATTGTCTTTACAAGAGGAAACACTTTTATTACTGACATTTTGAGAAAAATCCATTTTATTTTTACCGTGGTACCACCCTTTAATGTTTTTTGCAATTGCGTTAAAACACTCAGTAAAAGAAGCACAAACTTAATTCCAGAAATGTTTATTATACAGGGTGTCCCAGAAATAAGTACAAGTATTTTAAGGGGTGGTAGATCTGGTCAAAAAAAAACATTTTTCTCTTTACTATTTTTCAAATAAGTTCAAAATAACCGAGTTATTTTACTTTGAAAATTTAAACAAAAAATGTTGTTTTGCTTAAATTTTGAGAACCACTGGATCTCTTCTGGATTTTCTTTCATGTAAATTTATTCTACTACCTATGTTGTCATAATATCAAGAAATTATGTTTTTTAGCTTAAAACTAAAAAAAAATCCAAATTTTTTTTTAAAGAATTACAAATTTTCAAAAACCTCATAGGCGTGTTTCTGAGGCCGAAATATACTACCAGTTAAAATACTTGCACTTATTTCTGGGAGACCCTGTATAGTTAAATAATTTCTTACTCCGCTCAGCATGAGAATTTGAGGGCTTCCAATAGCACCGGCGCTCAATATAACTTCCTTTTTAGCTCTGACGAATTGCGGACGATTATTCCTGATCAACTTGACACCATACGCCATCTTGGTCTTGGGGTCGATCATAATTTTGGTAACCTGGGAGAACATGGCTATGTGTAGATTCTTGCGATTTCTTATTGGTCGCAGGAACGCCTTTGAGGTGGAACATCGTGAACCACGTCGAATGGTACCTTATGTAGAAAGAAACTATTGTCAGTATTTCTGTAAAATAATGTTGTTACAAAGTTTGTTTTTAATTGTCATTAACAATATCAATAGTGCTTTAATGTTGTTCTGTCAAGAGATAAGTACCTAATAATTTAAACAGAGTTTAGTTAATATGAAGTGGTGAACGTGTAATCCTTGATTTTAAATATAAAAAATACAATTTCATTCTTCACTGGCTTTCTTCAGTCTCTACTTTTCTGTCAATTTACTGCCATTAGCACTTTTTCGCAAATTCAATATTAAGCAATTGCCACTTTTTATGAAAATTCCCACTTTTTATGTAAATTTACAGTTTTTGTGTCAATTTTCACTTTTACGTCAATTTACACTTTTTCTTGCAATTTGCACTTTTTGTGTAAATTTACATATTTTCTGTAATTTTGCACTTTTCCTGTAAATTTAGACTTTTTATGTCAATTTACATATTTTGTACAAATTTACATTTTTTCTGTCAATTTGCACTTTTTCTGTAAATTTACACTTTTCCTGTAAATTTACACTTTTTTACCAATTTGAGCTTTTTCTGTATATTTACACCTTTCTTGTAAATTTTAATTTTTTTTGTCAACTTTTTTATCAAGCTTTTTCTGTAAATTTACATCTTTCCGCAAATTTAAACCTTTTCTGTCAATTTACACTTTTTACGTAAATTTACAGTTCTCCACAGATTTGCACCTTTTATGTCAATTTACACTTTTTGTGGCAATTTTCGGGTTTTCTGTAAATATTACACCTTTCCTGTAAATTTTATTTTTTTTTGTCAACTTTTTTATCAAGCTTTTTCTGTAAATTTACATCTTTCCGCAAATTTAAACCTTTTCTGTCAATTTACACTTTTTACGTAAATTTACAGTTCTCCACAGTTTGCACTTTTTATGTCAATTTACACTTTTTGTGGCAATTTTCGGTTTTTCTGTAAATATTACACCTTTCCTGTAAATTTTAACTTTTTCTGCCAATTTGTGTTTTTTCTGTAAATTTACATATTTTCCTACATGAAGGATTTTTTATGTCAATTTACACTTCTTCTGTCAAATTGCACTTTTCCTGTAAATTTAAATTTTTTCGGTCAGTATGTGTTTTTTCTGTAAATTTACATCTTCCTATTATTTTCCTGAATATAAGCCTTTTTTTATGTCAATTTACACTTTACGTTTTTTATGTAAATTTATACCTTTCCTGTGAATTTAAACTTTTTCTGTCAATTTGTGCTTTTTCTGTAAATTTACATCTTTCCGTAAATTTACACATTTTATGTCGATTTGCACCTTTTATGTCAATTTGCACTTTTTATATAAATTTACACTTTTTCATAAATTTACACCTTTTATGTCAATTTGCACTTTTTCTGTCAATTTGCACTTTTTATGTCAATTTGCACTTTTTATGTAAATTTACGCTTTTTCATAAATTTACACCTTTTATGTCAATTTGCGATTTTTCATAAATTCATACTTTTTTGTCAATTTTTCCTTATTGGTAAAACAACTTTCTGCCTTTTCTTTCTAGTGGCATAACTAAACAATACCCTCTACCTGACCCATCATCTACGACAGTTTTGTTGTTTTTGATTCATCGATTATTTCATAACTCATGAGTTACGAAACGTACGCTACTTGTAAACATACTTCTCGAAGAACTGGTTGCAATTTTGTAAATATTTTATGTGGAAGAGATCAGCGAAAGATGTGTAGACCAACTTAATTTATTCATTTAGCAAAATGAAACGTGTGAACACAAGTGCCGTTTTCAGCAACCTCAAATCAGTCAAACAGCATCAGAGAGACTGAGATGTGGGAACCCGCTTTTAACTATAGCCGAAAAAAATGCTTAGCTATATTCTACTAATTCTAACTTCTAGTAATTTCAATAAATTTTAATTCTAGTAATTTCAATAAGTAACTATGTATCAACCTTGCGACAACATGAATCCAGTTTGTTGAGCACCATTACAATCTCTAACTTGATAACCCAGTTCTCTCCCTGCTTGCAGAAAGGCAATACTGAGTGGTGTGCGCCAAGGAGACTCCTGCACTGTGAGATATCCTCCTGTTGAATGGTACGGGGTACGAGCTAGGTACGGGTTTCTGTTGTCTTCCGATTTCATGAAGTAGGGCAGGACATCGTCGTACGACCAACCCGTATTACCTTGGGCAGCCCATTGATCGTAATCGTGCCGGTTGCCTCTGACGTATATCATAGCGTTAAGGACACTTGATCCGCCCATTACCTTAAAAGAAATATTCGATATTTTGGTATAGTGTTAACTATTTATTGTTTAACTTTTAACTTTTTAAAATTTCATAATGTTAATTACGAATAGGAGTTATCTTAATTAAATAAGTCCCAGAAATAAGTGCAAGTATTTTAAGGGGCGGTAGATCTCAATAAAACAAACATATTTTCTCTTTATCGTTTTTCAAATAAGTCCAAAATAACGGAGTTATTTTACTTTGAAAATTTCCAAAAAAAAAATTTTTTTTTGCTAAAATTTTGAGAACCACTGGATCTTTTCTCGATTTTCTTTCTTGTAAATTTAATCTAATAACTATGTTGCCATATTATCAAGAAATTATGTTTTAAAACTAAAAAAATTTCCAAAAAAAATTTCAATTCACTTTTAGTGCATAGTAATTTTCAGCAACCGTATTATCACATACTGCGTCTGCGAAGAAAATATAGCAGAAATATTAAGAAAGTTTTTGAAAAAAATTACACTCATTTATTTCTAATGAATTTCTAGATATCGATTTTTAAATACAGAGTTTAATAGCGCGACCACTGTCGAACACCAACTCAATTCCACTTATTTTACCAAAAGTGCCAGTGTTTCTAACTTGCCCTTAGAAAATGTACAAGCTAGAGGGAAAATTACAACGACTCGTTAATAAATAAACAAATAAAGTATCACGAGACGTAATTAAATCGTAAAGCTGAACGCACGATACACCCTTCGCTAGAATTTTAAGTTCTGATTGAGTCGACCGTCTCTTAGCAATGTGCACAGTTTCTCGGCTTATTTTATACGTTTGGCAACGTTTTTACTGTTCTCTCTTTGTTTAGTACATTACAAACGCATTGTACTCTTCTTACATACGGACATCTCCACCCAAAACTCACCTTTATCAGCCCTTAGTATGTATTATAGATTTTTTTTAATATATACGATATACGTAACGTATATTATTTGTATAATATACTACATACCTTTCCTCTTGGCCAGTTACATCTGTCACCGATCATCGCCAAGCAATAACCTGAATCCGATGGCGGTGTGGTTTGGTACATCCAATCGAACTGTGACATTTGCATATATCTAAAACAACATTTAAATTAGTAAATTCATAACATTTAAATTAGACACATTTTGTTAATGGATATATATTTACCCGCTCAATGAAGGAATATCCGATACTTCATTTTCGTTCCCACCAGCTTCTAAGAGTAGGACATTCCAGTTTTCTATTTCGGAAAGCCTGGCAGCTACTACAGCTCCTGCTGATCCAGCTCCCACCACAATGAAGTCGTATTCAGGTCTGATCTAGAAATTTTTGTTTAATTAAAGATTATAATATACCATATGGTCGAAAAAAACACCGTCAAAATCGGCTTTTATCGCGATTTTTTTTGAAAATTTTGTATTTAAAAAAAGGACTTTTTTAGTTTTTAGTTAATAAACATAATATCTTCATATGGCAACCTTAGGTAATAGGTTCTATTTACAAGATAGAAAATCCAGAAAAAATCTAGTGGCTCTGAAAATTTAAGCAAAAAATATTTTTTTAATAAAGATAAAAAATAATTTTCAAAGTAAAATAACTCGGTTATTTTGAACTTTTCAGAAACTGCAAAGAGCAAATAAGTTTCTTTTATCGAGATTTACCAGCCTGGTGTGAAAATATTTGCACTTATTCAAGACTAACCCCCTGTATATGGAATTTATTTTCATGGTAAAAAGCGTTAGTAGTACTGATCCTGAAGATATTTTGAATCGAAATAATCAATACATGTCATTATTGACACAAATTAAACAAGTTTACTAGATAGTTATTAAACTGACATAATAAATCTGGAACCTTTTTGCACCAAAGGTTCCAACAGAACCTGTTTTATCATAATAGTGCCTTGAAAAATATATGATTAATTAAAAAAAAGTTTCAAAAAAATACTATTTCAATCAAATAACTATATGTATAGTCCAAAAAATAAACGTGTTTTTGGCAGTGATGACATGAATTGATCATTACCAGTCCAAATATCTTGAGGTTGCTCGTAGCGATTTTTACCAAAAGACATTTTTTACCTAAAAAACGGTGGAAATGTGTACAATTTTATACCCAGATGTATTTTTTACTCAGTAATTTAATACTGAGGGGTAAAAAGTTATTACTCTTCATCAGTTTTAGGTTGCGCCTCCTACACGTATGGGTCATATTGACATTAAAATCAAATTTCTCGCGTCAAAAACACGTTAGTTCAAAAATTATTTGGAGAAAATTGAAATAAAAATTCTACACAAAATTTTTAAAATTTTAGAGAGAACAGAATTTTAAAAAGCATTTTAGGACATAAATTTAGACCACCCTATATTTGTAATTAAGAAATTAGTACGATTTAAACAGCTCTAAAACACTTACCTTATTAATATTGATAGGATGGGATTCTGGGTCAACTTCTAAATATTTCATAAATAGTAATCCGGCTGCGAACACAGGAACCAGGCCCAAAATGGTTAGGGGATTCACCGTTAGGCCCACTGCAAAATGGGCGACTTGGCCAACGACAGCTAATAATGACATGACTAGATTATCACCTATATATTTACTTTAAAAACTTGTCCACATTATATATTATTTTATTGTCTCTTCACACTTATATACTATTATATTCTTGTCACTTTAATTTTGACTATGTTTTCTGGCACTATAAAGTTATTCTCTACACACTATTTCTTGTATTGGCACTGAACAGGTATCAAATTATCTCATATTTATTGAGTCAATAGCTCGGTGAATAGAGTTATCAAATCCACATACCCATATTAACTTCCTGACTTAATATTTTTGGAGTATAATTCCTAAACGACACCTTTTTTAGTTGAAAACTTAAAGCCTAAAACAATAACATAAATTTAGTATAGTACGGAGCGATCAACAAATGACTGAAATAGTGGACTTCTAATTTTGGACGTTTAAAGGTTGATTCTCACTATACCGTTCATATCAGCTCCCTTCCGTTTCCCTTCCGTTCACATAAATTATTATATCGTAAATGAATAGGACAATACACACTATCCGTTCCGTTTCCCTTCCGTTCCATATCCTTATCTTCCATACATTTTTTGGCGGACGGACTGAAGCGTATCGGAAACAGCGTTGTCAAGTTCTTACATTTGTACCAGCTCTGTTAAAATTTTGCTGATATTTATTTATTCTTTCACCTCTTAATTAAATCTATTGCCTTTTTCACAAGATACAAATTTTTAAAATAAACTTTTCGGAATGAGATAAATTGTACAATAAAAAGTATGGAACTGATACGGAACGGAATCTTACGTATAGCGTCAATACAATAAAAATACGACGAACGAATATGGAATGGGTATAGAATGGAAACGGAAGGTATAGTGAGAATCAACCTTAATTGGCAATAAATTTAAAAAATTCGAATTTTTTATAACTTGCGTCAAAACAAACCGAAAGCACCCTCATATACCAGAAGATTTGGCAAGCGAATTTGGCCTGCGGGTTGGGCCTGTGTACTTGGCCTGCATTTAAAAACTTTGAGTTTGTATTGCGGATCAAGTCTGTTGCAGGCTATATCTTTGGCTGGCCAAACTTGTCAGAGACCAAATCCACAGACTTGATCTTTGAGATTAGACTGGTCTAAAAAATAAGTTTGATTCCAATTGACCCATAATTAAGAAAAATTCTGATGATTTCGTTCATTTAGAGGCATCGCGCATCGATTCGAAACGTCGAGGGCGTCATCTTGTAGCCCGTCCCCAATTATGCCGAAATCGACCCACATTTTTCTTCTATATCAAATTCTTAGTCCCCCCCTGATGAAGATGTAAACGAAACGTCGTATCCTACTTTGCAGGGTGAGACCGTGTGCACAGGCGCACACATAGCCTACCCACCAGAGTCGCGATCGGACGACATAAAGTTTTGACGTTTCTTACGTCAAAACTAACTGTCACAGTGACACGTGTCCTACACGATCAAGTTGGCCTTGATCAAATCTATCGACATACCAAGTTTCATTTAAATCGGACGACTTTTTAATTTGATTTATTGATGATGGGGTTTTGTAATGCACAAAACGTTGTCAAAACACCTTCCTTCCTCCTAACCTCCGATCGTTACTACTTTTCTCTCGCGTCTCGTGTGTCACGGTTTTCAATTTTTTACTCCCATCGCGCGTAAAGAAGTTTCACTTCAAAAATTAGTCATATTATTTACTTTTTGGTTTGTATTGATGCTAATACTTTAAGAAATTCTTAAACTTATTACCAACAGTGCCACCTAATTGAGCGAAATCAGAATAGCCAAGTATTTCAATCAATTTAAGTATATAGTAAACGCCACGAATGTTTGGGAGTGATTCATCGGTCGCTACTATGTGAACTAATCTGTTCAAGGTCACATAAACTTAATTCCAGTGCCGTGGTCTTTCAAGTCATATAATAATCAATATATAATCTGTTGTTATTTGTTGTTTTAATTGTCAAAGTCTTGTTAAAACATATATTTGGTTATAAATATAAGATGGAATGGCCATTGGTCGCACTGCAAGCACACCAATGGACTGACGCACAAAAACGAATCAATCAAAGAAACGCGATATAGTATTGTCTTTGTCAATCACGCTAACATTTTAGAATAAGTAGGAGGAGCGCAGGCAGATGATTAGACCGGGCCTTTAAAAACTTACGTCTGCGGTAAAAATTTACGGTTTTAATGTAAAAAATAGCGCGCGTGTCGATTCTAACTTCATCAAGCGATGAATCACTCCCAAACATTCGTGGCGTTTGCTCTATCATTTTGTACCGCTTTCCCTTTGAATAAGAAGACTAAGGAAGGAGCATAATGCTATCCATGTATTCATGCATGGTGGGCGGAAAAGGCACCATAAAAGCTCTCTAGGGTGGGGATCCTTGACAGTTCTGTTTGACGATTCATTTGACACATTTGAATTTGATTTGAAATTTTGTGGATTTGTCAGTCTTTATGGAGCTTATTTTATGTTATTTATTATTTATTCTACTACTGATAGTTGTATAAAGGTAGTAAATCTAGATGGAAATTGTGGCAGAACTTAAATTAACAGTGACACTATCGGGATTTATCGAAAAAGACTCTAAAATAGTTGGTTGTGTAGCGTGCGGTAGATCTCGGCAAAAATTGAGTGAAATAATGGAACAACTTTTCGCTAGTAAGTGACTATAGGTATAATATACATACGTGTAGTAAACCGATCATTTATGAAATTCACTTAAATTAACTAAATTATATATTTTTCTTGCATTTTAGCTTTTATTTATTACTTGTCAAAGATTTAATGTCAAAGAATTTAGATATGTTAATTTGACTTACCTGCTTCAGTAGCGTATCGGATGTTTGTGTTAATAAATACTTATTATAACTTATCTATTTTTATTAGAATTATATATTTTTATAACAATTTTAATAACTACCAACATTTATTCACAACGTAAAATAAAACAACAAATTATTGAGTCTACCCCACGTCTACCCTACATCATAGTTTTACATTATTTAAAGAAAATTAGAACGACACTGATAAACCGGAATTTAAGTCGGCCATATTTGAGGCCCATCGCGGTGTACCTAAGATTTTTGATATATGGATATGCTCCTTCCTTAGTCTTCTTATTCAAAGCGCTTTCCCAATTGACTTACGTTTTGTTTCTCTACCGCACTTTTAATATACAAATTGTGCCTAAGATATTCATTATGAGCGATGGAGCAATCGTGCTCACTTTTGCTTCTAGTAAATTTGTGACAATTATCTTGTCTATATCTAGATACGAATCTATCACTAGGAGTTGTACTAAATCTGTAAGAAAACATAAAATCAGATAGACAATTAACATATATTTACATTATATGTAAGTCCGGTAAATTACTCACATCTTTTATAGTATGAGTGAGATATTTATGGACGAGTCCAGGATTGACCTAAAGACTGTTCAGCCATCGTTCACCGTTACGTCATCATTATTTGTCAAATATAAGTTTTAGGGTGTGTCTGAAACCAGCTCATATTGTTTAGAAAATATTAAGTACGTTCCTGTATTTTATTGATTGAGCGAGTTCCGTTTTTTTCGGCATTTTTTCATTTTTTCTTGAACTCTTTAAGGTGCGTATTCATTATCCGAACGAACGAACGAACGAACGAATGAAAGTGCGGTATATTTAGACGGGGACCGTTCGTTCGGTCGTGCGCTCGACCATCCGCTTCGAGTCGGTACATCAAAGGCGTTTAGACGTCATGGTACAAAGAATACAAGGTATGATCGATAGCGGCTCCAATTTCGTTCAGTTCGCGCATACCACCTGTGACGTCACTAGGAAAATAATGAATAAATAAAAAATAAAGAAAGTTGACAGGAGATCTGCAATTTTTGGGGTTATGGTTAAGAATTGTTTATTTTAAGACTTTTTAGTTCGTTTAATTTAATAATTACTAAAACCAGCAGTTCCAAAAATATATTTAAAAATAATAATTATCTATTAACATGGATTTGGACGATAGGTAAGAATACTGAATTTATTTCTATATTCGGTATAAAATTGTTTATTAGGTTTTTAGTTTGCGATGTTTATGGTAAATAATTTTCATTTTCATTGCCTCTGAATTCACATGAGGACAGAGTTGAGGATATCTATGGAAAAGTAACCACAAGAGGAATTGTTACATCATTTAAAAAATATTGGGAAGTTTATTGTTTCCCATCGAAAAGTAGAAAATGCCAATGCAGATGAACGTATTGTAATTGTGATAGAAGTAATTCTAAGGGTGAAGTTTATTATAATTAGTGGAAGTAATACCAAGGGTGAAGTTTATTATAATTAGTGACCTCTGCTTCTTTTTATATGTAGAAGTTTCTGGTTTTGAGAATAAATCGGTTGAACGACACCCAAAATTTAAAGGAAGTATTTGCATACCCAGAATATGCCCATCAAGGATTATATAGCTCAAATTTCCTTTAATGGTAGGCAATTATTCAATGCAAATTAACTTTTTAAGTGACTAAAATATTAAATAGTTTACAATATGGTATATCACTAAAAATATATTACTTTTAGGTACAATTAGGGCCCGATACATTTCAAAAAGTAGAATATTATTTTATATTAAATGAGGTATTGTACTAACAATCAATTTATATTAATAACATCTGTTCTAAGGTCTTCTAGAATATCCACTCCACGATATCTTAATCTGCTTTGGTATAATCGCCTTTCCCAAAAACGTTTTTTTCGCCGTTGTTTTTTTGAAAGCAATTTTATTACTACATAACAGGCGCTAATTATTATTATTTCTTCGTCGCGATCCATAGCACTATTACCTCGATAGTATTGGCGAATGGTGAATCCACGGAAATTCGACAAGAAATGCGTGCGGTTCTATCGTGCGGTCCCCGTCCATACCACTAGCGAACATTCGTTCGTTCGTTCGTTCGTGCGGATAATGAATACGCACCTTTACGATCCCGTTAATTCCAATCCTTTGGACTGTTGAAATTCCTATTTCCAAAGCATCAGCAACTCGCTACATTATTTGAAAACGCTATCAATTTGTTTTTTACATAAGAATATTACACCCCTTTGCATTATACTTACTTTATATACAGCGTCCACGGGCAAGAGTGTTCTACCAGCTGCAGCGTCTCTTCCAGAAAAATAATTTATAAGCTTAGCAATGAGCTCTTGTCTATTTTGGTTAAATCTTTGAGGCATTTTTGCAATAAAAAAATGAATTTTGTTTTACAGCAGCAATCAAATTTTAACTTTGACATTGATCGATGTCCGTCAAGAAAATTATAACCGAAAATCAAATGACACACAGTTAGCCTGGGCCAGGGGCGGGAAAGTGAAATAGCAAAAGCGGTTCCACCGTTTCCACGGAAATCTCAAATAAAATAGTTCCAGCCCTAGCCACTAGGTGGTAGTGCAATTAATTTTTAGGTTAAGAAGTTGCTACTAGTTATTGCCAGATGGCGTTAAATCAGAATTTTTTTTGTAGTTTCCATAGTTTCCAACGGCCATTGTCATATTATTGTCAAATTCTCAAAAAATATTGTCGTTGTCATAGCGCCAATCATAATATTATCAAATAAATGATTAGGAAACGTTTTTCAAACTATAATTTGTTATATGTGTTTTAATTAGACAATTCCTTTTGTTTGTGGCCCTAAAAATATAATGTAAGTCTTTTATATTTGCCATCATTTAAGTACCTATTTATATTTACTCCATTTACAAAACTTTGGGCGTGTTACGTTGGTCTTGTTTTATTATATTAAACGATGCTTAAATATTTGACATATAAATAAGAACTTTAAATAATAAATAATATTTCACATGTTTGGCTTTAATTTTATTTAGTAATTGTATAAATTATATTGTTAAATCTTATATTCGTATCTTATTTTTTACACATCACAAGAATACTTGTTATTAGTATTGTTGAATTTGTGTAAAAAATAAGATTTAATAATCAAATTTAATTATTTTAGAGTAAAATTCAACAAAAACGCTCATTTAAAAAGCCCGCGCTTCGATCCATTTAAGACAAGCCCTACTCAATAGATGGCGCCACTTCTGTAGGACCATTTTTCGGTATGGCAGAGTCCATTCTTTTTCTAGCTAGGTATATTCTTTGGCCTGGGCCAAGATGGGGGTCAAGAAAAAAAATATATAAACTTTGAGTACTTTATTTTTTAAATGCCGATACCACTGGCTTCAAAAAAATATAAAAATTAAAATCGCCGACGTACAATAGGGGTCTCTACACAAATTTAAAAAAAAATTTTCAACCAAAGTAAAAAGCGCGCAAAAAGTTTTGTTAATAATAAATAACGACCATCATCACCAAAAGGTATGCTTACTTTTGCCCCCCTCCCTGTTTCTAAATCCAGGAGGTTGGGTCTCTGCACAAATTTGAATAAAAATAAACAAAAAAAAATTTTCTAAGATTTTAGTGATAAAATTTTACTTTATGATCATAAGTATTATTAAACAAGTAAAACTACAAACTAACAATTAAGGAAGTACAATTAATAACTTTAACACACACCGAATTTAGTCTAAAAAGGAAGAAAACAATTTGGTACTAGCTATAAGTAAATAAATAAATTTTAAACATGGTTACTGTTGTAGGAAGCAACACTCCTAAGGAGATTTTTTTGACCAATTTGTCTGCCTGGCCAGGTGGAAATACCATTTGTTTAAAAAACGTTAACTTACTGATGATTTCCATTTAAAACTGAGCATAGATAGTGGAAGTGGATCTTTAAAAATTTGTCTGTCTTTATGTTGTTACGAAAATCCCGAAATAAAACAAGAAAAACATAAAAGTACCGTAATAAACAAACGCATTTTAATAGGATTGGCTCCCAAAATAATAGAAACCTACAAAAATATCAGAGCAATGTTTGAGATTTTGCAACACCATACTATTTATGGAGTCATTTCTTACACATTTGCCGCAGATCTAAAGTTGATAATGATTATATTGGGCCTTCAATCTTTATCATCATGTCATCCATGTGCCTGGTGTGATGTTAACTCAAAAAATTTACAGTCAAAGGGAGAACTAAGATCCATAAAAGATATTTCCAAATGGAGTACATTATAGAACGAGGAGACAGGTGGAAATTTAAAAGAAACAAAAAAGTACAGTAAGTGTACTGCTAAGTTTACTTTATTGACTTTTTTAATAGTTATTTTTTGCAAATTTTAATTAAAATCTTTAGAGAATTGCGTCAACATTCCTTTAATAACTGGTGATGACAATCTTCCAATTATCAACTATATATTTATTTAGATGGGAGTTGTACAAAAAATATACGATTCTCTAAAAAAGGACTTTCCGGAAATTGCTGAAAGCTGGCTAAGAAGTTCTGGGATACAATTAGACCATTACAGCAGATTTAATGGAAATAATGCCAGACACTTGCTTAAAAAAGTTGACGTCCTTAAAGCACTAGATCCTGGTACTTACTTTGTAACAAAACTTTATTTTATTATTGTTATTTGGACACTAAGCCCTTTGCTTATTTTTTTTAGACAACAAATACATACAGGTATTTTGTACCTTCAATGATGTGGTAGCCAGCTGTTTAAAAAAATAACAGATACGAAAATCAGTTTTACTCAAAAAATTCACGCTGTTGTTCACCATATACCGGATTTTGTTAGTATTTCACAGAAAGTATTGGGCTTTTACTCTGAGCAAGCCTCAGAGCAGATGCATCATTCTTTTAAGTTGTTCTCAAAAAACTTTAATTCAAATCCGAGATCACAAAAAACTATCAAAAAAATCCCCTTAGGAATATTGCTTCCTGCAACAGTAACCATGTTTAAAATTTATTTATTTACTTATAGCTAGTACCTAATTGTTTTCTTCCTTTTTAGTCTAAATTCAGTGTGTGTTAAAGTTATTAATTGTAATTCCTTAATTGTTAGTTTGTAGTTTTACTTGTTTACTAATACTTATGATCATAAAGTAGAATATTAGAAAAAAATATATTTTTTTGCTTTTTCTATTAGATTAAAGTCTATTTTTATTTAAATTTCTGCCAAGACCCAACCTCCTGGATTTAGAAACAGGGAGGGGGGCAACAGTAAGCATACCTTTTGGTGATGATGGTCGTTATTTATTATTAACAAAACTTTTTGCGCACTTTTTACTTTGGTTAAAAAAGTTTTTTTTTTTAATTTGTGTAGAGACCACAATTGTACGTCGGCGATTTTAATTTTTATAATTTTTTGAAGCCAGTGGTATAGGCATTTAAAAAATAAAGTACTCAAAGTTTATATATTTTTTTTCTTGACATCTTGGCACAGGCTAACTGTGGACAATGACAATTACTAAAAAGACTATGCAGTCATTTACGAAATGCCGTAATGACGTCACGAATCTTTTTCATCTGGTTGGCACTGGTTGGCAAGTGATTGAGATAGTTCTACAATATATGACGTGACGCTGAACGATGGGTGAACATTCTACTATTTCATACTATTGGCACAGCTTAAGTAAAAATTATTCTGTAAGCTGTGCTATTGGGATAAAACTTATGTTTTTAAATAATTAGTATTTTTAATCCGCTTATGTACAGGGTGAGTTTCCTACGATATTCTCTATGGGTATCTCGGAAACTACTGGAGATAGAGAGTCGGTTAAATGGGGAAAGAATTGTAGTTTTGTGGGGTCATAAATATGCGCCTTTCAGATTTTTGAAAAAGTTCATGGCTTACTAGATATTTTGAAAAAAACAAATTTCGGCTATTTTAAAAATTGTCCCTAATTCCATTATAAGCTATTTTAGACAAAAAGTTTTCAGATAAAAGTTGTAGATAATCACATTCTTAATGAGACTGTATCCTCTGCTTTTTTCTAAAGCCTGTCATTTTTGACATATGCCACAAACATAGGTTTTTTTAAATGGAAACCATAGTTGGCCATGGCTTCATAAAAAGCGCCATTTTTTAAGCTTTTCAGCGATATAAGCTATAATATGTTTTCTTCGAAAAATTACTGAGTTATAGCCAATTCTTCTCATTTTTAAACAATTTCACTTAGTTAGCCATGGAAACAAGTTTAATCGTCTTTGCTCTCATAAATGTGAAGCTGTCACATCCAAACTTTGCAAATAAAAATAAATACAAATTGTAAATATGAATTTTTCAAATGAAGAAAAGCGTGTAGGATTATTGGTTCAACTTTTCTTGACCATACATTTTCGAGGATACGTTGACCGGTGAATGTTACGTTTTTTAGAGAACGGCTTTCAAGACATGTTAGAAAAGTTAAATTTAGTTATAGCCAATTCTTATCTTTCTTGGCTAATTTCACTTAGATTGCATGGTATTCTTATTCTGTTATGATTTATAACTTATAAAAAGTCAGAATATATTACTAAACGGTTCTTTACAATTTACATTACACAAACTAAAACTTAAAAAAATAATATCACTACATACACTTTAAGTTATTTTAAAAAGTGTTCAAAAAATCCGCCATTGTTTTGAGTTGCATGTTTTTAAAACTGAATTATTACCCATTTTCATAGAAGGACCGGTCGACTTAATCAAACTTCTCTCGTACCGCCACTTCGAGTGCCTCTCTTAATTCATAGGTTCCTTTGTAAACCTTATTGTTAACTATACCGCATAAAAAATTCTAAAATGGATAGGTCAGGTGATCGAGGAGGCCCATGCAATTAGTCCACCTCTATCTATCCCTGCGTTTGTATAATTATGATATACATAAATAATTTTTAACATTTATTTTATTATGGGGGGTGGGGGGTGGTGTGTCATAATGAAAGTCATGTTGGAACCACTCTATTGATGCGCGATCACACGCGATCTACACGCTTCTTCATTTTAAAAATTCATATTTACAATTTTCGTTTATTTTAATTTGCAAAGTTTGGATGTAACAGCTTCACATTTCTGAGAGCAATGGCGATTGAACTTGTTTTCATGGCTACCTAAGTGAAATTGTCTAAAATTATAAGAATTGGCTATAACTCAGTAATTTTTCGAAGAAAAGATATTATAGCTTATATCACTAAAAAGCTTAAAAAATGGCGCTTTTTATGAAGTCGTGGCCAACTATGGTTTCAATTTAAAAAAACCTATGTTTGTGTCATATGTCAGAAATGACAGGCTTTAGAAAAAAACGGAGAACACAGTTTTATTAAGGATGTGATTATCTACAACTTTTATCTGAAAACTTTTTGTCTAAAATAGCTTATAATGGAATTAGGGACAATTTTTAAAATAGCCGAAATTTGTTTTTTTCGAAATATCTAGTAAGCCATGAACTTTTTCAAAAATCTGAAAGGCGCATATTTATGACCCCACAAAACTGCAATTCTTTCCCCATTTAACCGACTTTCTATCTCCAGTAGTTTCCGAGATACCCATAGAGAACATCGTAGGAAACTCACCCTGTATGTTTTGGATACTATTGTATTTACTGATGGAATAATTTTTTCCGAAGTCAATATTCCGAAGTCGGGGTTCTCACTGTCTTTGTCAGCATCATTGTCGACATCGTCTGGAGTATTTCCAATTGATTTCGGAAAAACTAAACTGACATAAAATTTGAGTCTTGTGCAGAATATGATGGGATTGGGAAAATTAACATGAAATCAAATTCTATCAAAGTTTCTCCGTATTTAATAAACTAGGTTTGTGAAAAGCAAATTCACTTAATAAAGAAATGTTAATCTTAATTTAATAATCTTTGACAGTTTACTTACCGTGTAACAATATCGTTTTTATTCCTAAACGCTATTTCTGTCCAATATTGGTTATGATGGGAATGCACCCTTTGGTGGTATTTACAGTCAATTTTGTTGGACTCTTTGTATTTTTGCGGTCCGGGATCGGATCTGCCCATTTCATTTAGTGAAAGAGGAAGCCAGTTGTTCTGAAAATAAAAATTAGAGAGAATTAAAAATTACTTATAGGTATAGCGTTCTGAATTCACTCATTTGTAAATGAGTGTCTTGAATTTACGATTTTATCATCTTATTTAAGAGTCTATTACGCTGTACTGTTGTGGTCGCTCTCAGGGGTCGGGTAGAGCGGGTGTGTGGCCGTAAGAAAATATATATTTCAGAAATCTGCGTAAAGCTTAGCCCGATCCTGTCGTGTTAAACCACATCCAAAATTCCAAACATACGTGCTTTGATTAAGGTTTGCAGAGCTTCAGCATTTGCCATAAAAAAGCAAGCCATTTGTTACAAAACCATATAAATTATATATCACTGTAATCACAAAACTTCAATCTATTTCCGTATTGTAACGGAATTTTAAGCTATGTCTTTATATTCGAGAAAATTTAGTCCAAACATAAGGTATATTTTGTTCATATTTGACCATCAAAATCTTAAAAATAAAGAAGTTGTCTAAAATGTGCTACAATACGGATATAGTATAATCCTTTATCTTTAATTTCCTTCTTAATTTGTGTAAAAATACTTTTATTACATATAATATGTAATAAACACACAAATACATTATATTTTTTTTTCTCGAAAATAGAAATAGCAATAGTGTATAATTGAAAAACAATAAACAATAAGAAATGAAGGTGGTTTCTGAAAATGTATACAGGGTTGTTCACCACATACGACACGAAGTATTGTAGCTAAACGATGAGATTTTTACAAATTGTAAGATTTGGGTTCGTTGAAGGACTGTTAGAGCTACAATTTAAAATTATTTTTACAAGATACAGAGTGTCCCAAATAAATAAAAAATATCGAAGTTGTATTTTTTTAAATGGAACACCCTGTATATTATTACATTTTTAGTTTCTACGATTAAAATAAAGGTAAATTTGATTCAGGTTTGTTATACTTAAACCTTACCGTTTTTGAAATATTTTCAATTTTGTGAAATTGCAGAAAAAATTTTAAGGCTTCATTTCTCCAAGGGTATCAAAGTTTTTAATACTAAATATTTACTGATCAGTTATTGTGTTGCAATAATAAAAATAATACTACCTTATACAGAGTGTCTAAAAATTTATTTTAAATAATTATTAGCTTCAAACGGCAATGACTTGTTTAATTTAAATGGAACACCCTGTATATTTTACGAGAATCAGATGCACAATTTAATTGTCTATCAAATTATATTATACCATTTTTTACCTATCTCTTTAAGTTTCCGTAGAAAATGCATTTTCTTGTAATTTAGAATTTATTTATCAATATACCCATGGACTATTGACATTTTAGATTATTTTTAAAGATGTACCAAATTTTTAAAGAGTACAGATACTAATATTGTCGATATAATTCGTTTATTTTATTAAAAAATAAAAAAAACTGTTTAAATATTTGTTAAAGAGGATCAATTAATATGATTCCAGTATTCAAACTACATTAACTGACTGTTTGCGTTGATTAATAATAATAATTGCTCCAAATACTAAAAAAACTGAATTTTGTATGGGCATTAGACAGTGTGATAAAAGTAACACCTTAAAAATGATATTTCATTTTTTAATAAATGCTTATTTATAACAACAGAGACTTTAATTTGATAACTTATTATTATAGTGATTTCTGACTCCAATCCACATTTATTTATAATAATTTATTAACGAACACAATTAAGTATGTAATTAATTAGTATATGGGCGGAAATAATGGTGTTATTAATGCTAATTAATGGTATACTCTTTTATAAAGATTTAAATAGTTTTCTTTTTGCATACAAATGGGCTAGTAATATTATCGTTTTGCTAAAAACGATAATATTACTAGTCTGTACATTTTGTACATTTGCTGCTTTAAAAACAATCTAAAATGTCAATATTCCATGGATATATTGATAAATGAGGTCTAAATTATAAGAAAATGCATTTTCTACAAAAACTTGAAGGGATAGGTAAAAAATGGTATAATACAATTTGATAGACAATTTAATTGTACATCTGATTCTCCTAATATATACAGGGAATTCCATTTAAATTAAAGAAGTTATTGCCGTTTGAAGCTAATAATTGTTTAAAATAAATTTTTAGACACTCTGTATAAGGTAGTATTATTTTTATTATTGCAACACAATAACTGATCAATAAATAAACTTCATTAAATATTTAGTATTAAAAACATTGATACCCTTGGAGAAATGAAGCTTTAAAATTTTTACTGCAATTTCACAAAATTGAACATATTTCAAAAACGGTAAGGTTTAAGTATAATAAACCTTAATCAAATTTACCTTTATTTTAATCGTAGAAACTAAAAATGTAATAATATACAGGGTGTTCCGTTTAAAAAAATACAACTTTGATATTTTTTATTTATTTGGGACACTCTGTATCTTGTAAAAATATTTTTAAATTGTAGCTCTAATAGTCCTTCAACGAACCCCAAACTTACAATTTGTAAAAATCTCATCGTTTAGCTACAATACTCCGTGTCGTATGTGGTGAACAACCCTGTATATTGTGTGTTCCACACAAATAATAATAACGATTAACTACTTTTTAAATGAAGGGACAACACTACACCGCTAAAAATAATTTATATCGTTGGAGCAAGTGTCTTTATGTATAAATCCAAATTTTCAAAAAAAATCGTACGTCCGGTTCTCCATAAACGTCTAACCTGCCATCGTCACGAATCACCCTGTATGGTCGGTGAAAAGGCTCACCTTGTTGATATCAACTAATGATGGTGGTATTCTGAATTGCATCTTTAGCAGAATAAAATAAGGACGCGTGTTTTACTGTGATGCAACAGATATGTCTAAATTGGTCAACTGAATGGTGTTTTAGAAGCAAATTTAGCAAGAGTATAAAAATACACCTCTTGCGGAAGAACTCTGTCGTATGGTTTTTATTGTACAAATTTTATTCTTATTATCTTGACTTGATTAGCCATGCGTTACTATAATTTTTATTTATTTATTTAACGAGGGTCTATTTATTTTTTTAGTAGACTAATACTGGGGTTATGATTTAATTAGATATACACTCAGATGCAAAAAAACACAACGGGATGCTTTTTCGTCCAATAAGGGTCCAATTTAAAGTATTATATTTTTTTTGTTTTTAGCCCAATTTTTATGATTTTTTTGGCATACTGTATATAAATATACTCAGGGCCGGGCGACCCGGGCGGCCGCCCGGGGCGCCGTGTACTAGGGGCGCCGCGCCGCGACAGCAACTAAAATATTTAAAAACTGTAATCTAAACAAATAGTAACGAATAACCAGATCAATAATTAATCGGTACTATCAATTTTCACATTAAAATATTAGCAGTTACCACATCACGTAGGGGAAAATATCTGACTAAACATTATAAACACTACTATATCCTAGACCTATCCTATTATAGTTTATTGATATTATGCTCAAAAAATCCGCACGAAAGTTTTGGGATAGTTTCAATTTCTTCTTTTCTATATGTTTTTTGAGTGCTCTATTCGAAACTAGGATTTGCGAATTCATTTTCATGGAGGAATCCCAAACAAACTAAAATAAATAAATATAAATCTGATTTGTTCGTGGTATTTTACTTATAACTCAAAAGTTAACAACCTGTTTGTAAAGAATCCTCCCCCCCCCCCTTTCTATAATTCTTGTTTTTATAATTTTTCTCTAAACAAACTGTTTTGGGTCAACAGCCAGCAAAATTGGCAGTTTTAGACTGACTGCTCAAATTCGTACTTTTTCTACTAACCACTATTTGTTATTAATGGCTGATATGCCCTAAAATTGGGCATATAAATATAAAAAATATATAAAACTCGGGCACGAAATACAAATCGGAAAGAACAACCAAACACACGAGATACAGCGCAGAATAGATTTGGGTTGGGCTGCTTTTGGCAAACTGGGGGAGACCTTTAAAAGTGATATACCCATATGCTTGAAGAGGAAAGTTTATGAACAATGCGTCTTGCCGGTAATTACATATGGAGCGGAAACTCTAACATTAACGAAAAAGTCAGCAGAAAATTTAAGAGTAGCCCAGAGAGCCATGGAGAGAGCCATGCTTGGAATAACTAAAAGAAACAAAATTCCTAATAACACTATCAGACAAAAAACCAAAATTAAAGACATAGTGGAACACGTAACTCGAATGAAATGGAGATGGGCAGGTCATGTGGCGAGAACATCTAAAGACAGGTGGACTAGAAGATTGTTAGAATGGCGACCTCGAGCAGATAAACGTAGCAGAGGCAGACCACCGACACGCTGGACCGATGATGTAAAGAGGATTGCTGGAAATTGGATGATGACGGCCCAAATTCGAGAGACATGGAGAAATATGGAGGAGGCCTACGTTCAGCAGTGGACAATGATGGCTACATGATGATGATGATGATGACGCCCTAAAATTATATGAGGCAAATATTCATTCGCAAGAAGCTGAAGAGGATCCCGATATCCTTATTATAAAAAAAGCTTATAAGTGTGCTTCATTAACTAAATTAATTTATTAACAGTAATGGGAAAAGATATCAATTTTTTGGTGATTTTGATTGTTCCGGATTGAATATGTAGTAATACACGGAAAATGGTAGCAGAGTCGTAGAATTTTCTCATTAGAGCAAGACAAACGAATGCATCTCAAACACTGGCTGAATCTCATTTTGAAGCCGACAAAACTGTATCTGATCATATACTGATTCTGCAGGAAATAATTAACTGTGAAAATCAAGTCAAAAGAGAAAATGTTCTTAAATTCTTATAGAAAAATAATGCAACTGCTGAGAGCAAACAACGAGACTACCGAAGTTTGAATCCTATTTCTTATAACTCTGTATACCGGGTACGTCTCAAAAGTGGCTCACCCCTATAACTTGTTTATTTTTTAGTTGAAAAAACGATATTTGGTATGTTAGTATATATACGACATAAATTAGGATTAATTGAAGCATTCAATGGTTTTTGGTCACTTCCTGTTTCACCGAAAATTACTACATCTTTTGATTTTTAAATGGCACCCTCGGTATATTTCTACTTTATGACATATGCCATCTTTTGACATATTTGCATATGGTTTATTTAGTACCTAAACATACGGTTCATAACGACAATTTGACTAGACATATCAAGTGTGTGCTGTACCAAATTATTTGTAAAAAAATGCTTTTTCCAAATATGCTAATGAGCCACCCTTGTTCCATTTGAAAAAAATTGAGATATAATTAAAAATACGATTTGGGCATCTTTTAACCGGCCAGGACAAGGTACAAAAAACATTATGATCAAATCTTTTTTTCCAAGGCTCCTTGTTTAAAAATTGGTGTTTTTAACAGATTTTTTTTACTGGCACTCGAGATGGAAATTTAAAATATAATATATTTTTTTAGCGAAAATGTAAAAAGTTGACATATTTATGATATGTCATTCTACTCAGAGTGTCATATGAGTGTCATTCTCTATTAAATAAAGTAGAAATATGCCGAGATGGCATTTAAAAATCAAAAGTTTTAGCCATTTTCGGTGAAACAAAGAAAAAAAGGAAGTGACCAAAAACAATTTATTGAATACGTCAATCAATCTTAATTTATATCATATACTAACATTCCAAATCTGGGTTTTTATGTAAACAAATAAAAAAGTTATAGGGGTGAATCACTTTCGAGACGCATCCGGTATAGAAAAAAGAACAACCGCAGACTAAGTTTGAACGAAGAGAAAAATTTTGACATATCTTTAAAAAAATTATTGTTAAAGTAGTCTAAATATGCTTAGTTGTAGTTAAAGTATAGAGTTGAAAGAAAATCTGAAGGAAAGAGAGTTATAATAACTATGGGGGGGCCATGTAGAGTATTCGCCCGGTCTCAATATTTTCCTTCCGCCGGCCCTGAATATACTGACTTTAATTCGTAAACTCAGTTTTTTATCAACTTTAGAATTGGGTTGCAGTTTAGTAGTACACTATAATAGGGTTTATCAAATGGTTGGTTTTTACCTTAACTTTAAAACACCCTGTGCAATAATTTAATGAGCAAATTTTCCCCAAACAATATTTATCTGTCAGAATCATGTCTCCTGGGAATTCTGTTTTTGTCTCATGTCAACACATGCCTTGTTTAATTTTTAAGAGCGAAATGAACTTGCCACCAACAATTTCCAATTTTTTCAATTATTATTACTTTTTTATATTATTTTTCAATATGACGAGGTGGCTTTGGTGACTATTGTCGTAATATCATATTACGCTGTATCCTATAATTTTAGGATATGTCGTCTAAAATTATTTTGTTGTATCCAAGGTATCCAAAAAAAAAGTTTGATAATTTTAATTTTTTTAAAATTCTTTATGGATTTAATCTGTTATTCTTGGTGTTTAAGGAAATGTAGTAAAAGTATTAATAAAGGTATATTCACTCCAGTTTTTAACTACTTTTCGGATATAGTTTTTTTTAACTAAAGTTTTAGTACCTAAATAAGAAACAGAATGGCAACACCACATAGTGTTTCAACTATAAATAGTGTACTATATGCAAAATTTTATGCTGAATCCAATTACGTACAGACAAATAGGGGGTGCAATTAAAAAAAACTTAAAACTTAATCATAACTTATTTTGGGGCACCCAGTATACAACGAAATATTTTTAGGACATGCACTGCACTGCATATATAAACCATACACCATCTATTTATATATTTTCTTCGTATCTTTTTCAACAATGACGATATTGGACTTCTTCGCACTAATGGGCCACCCTGCATACATTGCGTTTATTGATCGGATGTAGTAAACGATAAGTGGCCATCGTTTCGTGTGAATTCTACAAATTTCTCTCGTTACCTATGGGAATTTAACAATTATGATAAGTTAATCATCTGAAAGCGCACATTTTATTGTAGAGAAATCGCTAAATTTTATTTAAAAACATTAACACGTTCCATAGGCAGATTATATTAAAAATTACTTAAATATTTTTATTGCAAAAGAAGAATAAACATTAGATTTTTAAAGAAATTGCGATGTTTAATTGATTGTGTAATGATGACTTATAATTTAACTTTGTATGTAATGTTTACACTTTTGTGGACGGCTGATTTCTACAAACCCAATTTAGTTTGAGTCACGTAATACTTCAAGTATCCTTAAAATGGAAAAAATCACTTTCAATCAATCACAACTCTAAATAATTAGTTTTCTAAAAGGCGGTATCTGTACCCAAGACAAAGGACTTTTGTCTTGTCTCTGATTGAGTGAATAGTTTTGCTATTAAATATCTACTCTACATATTATTAAAGGCGCCTTCAAATATTAATCTTTTAGAATATATATCAACATAAAACGAGAAGTAATTAACGAAATGTCATCGTAACAACAGCTATTTTAGAAACGTCTATGTTCACTTATTTCACTGAGATTTATGAAAAAAAATCCTTTGCCTCGGGTACAGATACCGCCATGTTATGGAAATAGCTCAAAACGAAGCAAAATTGAACGAGGCGACAAGAAACGCCAAAAAAATCACCCCACGCCCTCCTCACGAGTAGTTTTCAGGCGCTGTTAAGGATCGAAAGTAGGTCGAGGCAAACCGAAGTGGGTCAAGACAACTGGAAATAAACCGATATGCGACAAAGTTGGTCTATGAAACCTTGGCCTGTTTCGAAGAGTTTTCCGCATATTGTAGATGCTGTTTTGGAGTATACAAACAACTATAAAAATATAAACCTATGCAACTCATAAGACTAGAGATGAGCAAGAAATCGCAAACTGCGATTAGCTCTCATAGACAACTGCGACTGCGATTTCTTCTATTTGCGAGTTTCAATTTAGGCAACCAGTATTACTATAGCTACGATTTGCGACTTTGCTGCGATTGTGATTTTGTAAACTGGGACCGTGATTTCTATCTGCGAGTTTGAATTTTTAGGAGTTGCAATTTGCGATATGCTGCGAATGTAATTTTGTGGTCTATTGAAGCATTTTGTAGTAAACTGCGATTAAATTTGAATGAAATAATACCGGGTTTCTCAAGACTGATTCACCTCTATAACTTTTTTATTTTTTTTTTCTGATAAAAAAACGAAAATTGGTATGTTAGTATATGACATAAATTAGGATCAGTCACTTCCTATTTCACCGGAAATGACTACATCTTTTGATTTTTACATGCCACTCTCGGTATTTTTTTTTCACTTTATTCGATAGAAAATAACATTCTGAATAGAATGACATATCACGTCAACTTTTCACAATTTCGCTTAAAAAATCGTATTTTAAATTTCAATCTAAAATATCATGGCTGTGTTAAAAACACTAATTTTAATAAAGATGCCTTGGACTTGGAAAAATAGATTTGGTCGCCTATTGTTTTTCGCGTCTTGTCCTGGCTAGTTAAAAGATGCCCAAATCGTATTTTTAATCATATCTCAATTTTTTCAAATGGAACGAGGATGGCGCTTTGGCATATTTAGAAAAAGCATTTTTTTCGAATAATTTAGTTTGGTAAATATTAAAATCGGAATCGCAGGTTACAATTGCTGCGACTTAAAAATCGCAATTGCAGTTTCAATTGCGATTGAAGAATCGCGGTTTTGCTCATCCCTACATAAGACTAGTCATGAAAAAATAGAACATAGAAAAGAAAAAGTACTTAAAAATTCTAGCTATAAAATCTGGAAGGGTTAGTGGTAATATTTAAATAAAAAGATATTGTGACTGCGGAAAAAGATAAATTTGGATTGGGCTGAATATTCTATTCTGATTTGCTTTATTAATTTCTTTTATGGCAATTTTATTTATACGACATTTGATCTTGCTGGTGGTCATCAGGTTCCTTTCCTGTATTAGGCATATATCGTATTAGGCGTAGGTATGTTGTGACTATGCATATATCAAAGGATTTAACAGGTCATTGCTCTGCAGAATTTATGCATTTTGTAGGGATCAATTAGATCTATTATTATGTGGTAAAATTAAGAAATTGGCGCTTATCAAGTTTTTCCCCTGGGCTCTTCATATGTCCATTCTTCCAGGATAGTAGTTTATCAAAGTTTTCCGATTACAATTTGGACCAGCTTGTATAAGAAGCAAAACACATTTACCTCGTTTTAAGAGCTACGGTTATGATAATTACGTTATTAGAAAGTATCAGGTCATGTATGTTATGTCACGCATCTTATCACCAAACAGATCATCCTCATTAAATAATATTACGTTTTTACCTGTTAGCGAATCGTAAATTTCATCTCCGAAACCATTACCGAAAACCATTTTCCACATTTTTTCGATATATTTTTCACTTTTCACAAGAACAACGAACCACTTAAACTCTTGTAAAACTTTCGATCGCAGTTTGCGCAAACACCGAGACCATGGGACTGCGAGAAATGTGCTCGTCGCATCGAAGAAAGCCGCGGCAGGTTTTGCTTCTTTCACCGGTGAAATTTTCGGTTTCTTCGGCTTCGTCGAGGACTAGTAGCATCGAAATATAGGGCTACGACGTGTCGTATACGGGGTTGGGAATATATTACGTGACTATGAATGAATTGAAATCAATTAGCGGCTGCTTTCTGTTGAAACGGAAAGTTATTTTAGTAGTAAAAGAGGCGTTTTTGTCTTAAAATCGGTTTTATATTTTTTTTTTATACTAGGGTAAAATGGGTATGAAGATTTTGTAAATAATGAGCGGAGGACCATACGATCGAAGAAATGGGCTCCAGTGAGAACGCTACAGGGTGGTCCGAACTGTATTCCGGAAACTTCGATAGCATATTCTGCAGATAAAAATAAGTAAAAAGATTTCGTATAAATATATGTCCTAAAATGGTCAGTTTCGGAGATACAGGGTGCAGAAGTTTCATTTTTAAAGTAACGACAATGTTTCGATGAAAATTGGTGTCTGGAAGTTTTTTGACATGAGAAATTTGATTTTGTGTTCAATATGACTCCTATTTGTAGGGGGCGCCACCTACATGTGTTTTAACTGTTTGGAAGAGTTAATAACTCTTTGTCCGTACCTGTATAAAAGTACTAAGTGAAAAAATATACATTTGTGTGACTTTTTAAGTAAAAAAATGTCTCTTGGTATATTATTTACTCAGTAGTTTTATATAGGTACGGACTAAAAGTTATTACTCTTCAAACGAGTTAAAAAAATATGTAGGTGGCGCCCCCTACAAGTACGAGTCATATTACCATCAAAATCCAAATTTCTCATGTCAAAAAACTCCCAGACACCAATTTTCATCCAAATATTTACGTTACACCCCTGTATCTCCGAAACTAAGCATTTTAGGACATACATGTATATACGAACTTTTTTACTTATTTTTATCTTCAAAATATGCTGCTAAAGTTTCTGGAATACAGTTCGGACCATCCTGTATATCGAAATTAAATTTTAGTAAATGTAGGTTAGTTTAGAGCATTCATATAGAGAGTTCTACAGGGTGTCCTTAAAAAAAGTTAGATAATAAAATTGGGTTTTTTGTAATATCTTATATATTAATTGATTTTAGAATTCTAGGGAAAAAATAAAGGTAAGTTTTATTCAAGAAAGTTCAAGAAGCCTAAAATGTAAAGATTTTGACATATTTCACATTTTGTCAAAATGAAGGATAAATTTTAAATTTCAATAAAAGCTACCTAAATTGTAATTCACCATATATATAGCCTGATATTCAGTTAAAATATCCGTTGTATGTTAATCCAAATTAAAATTTGACCCGAAAAGCTATACAGGGTGAAACAAAATTAATATTGAACATTATCGGTCATTTTTAAAAGCCAGTTTCTCCTATATTTTAAAGGTAACACCCAAGGTAACATACCAAGGTAACATGCAGAATTCATATACATATCTTCAAAATACTGTTAAAGTTGCCTACCCCTTAGAAAAAGATTTTCCTACATATTTTCATTTTTATGATTTTGCGTCAGTAGATCTTGTCTATTATTTGATATAATCTAGGTGGCTGTGATAAACATTTTGTTAATTTAACAAAAATTAAAGGATGTAGAGTAAAAGAGTCACCGGTAATAAAAAATAATAATAAGTTTAAAACATATTTTAATTATTACAGAATTAGAACTAGATATAAACATATAATATACCGGGTGCGTCTTAAAAGTGATTCACCCCTATAACTTTTATATTTTTTCAGTTAAAAAAACGAGATTTGGTATGTGAGTATATGACATAAATTAGGATTGATTGACGTATTCAATTGTTTTCGGTCACTTCCTGTTTTACCGAAATGACTAGAACTTTTGATTTTTAAATGGCACCCTCGGTATTTTTTTACTTTATTCGAAAGAAAATAACACTATGAATAGAATGACATATCATATATCAACTTTTGACATTTTCGCATATGATTTATTTGAAATTATAACTTCGATAATAACGGTTCGTAACGAAAATTTGACTCGAAATACCAAGTGTGTGGTATCAAATTATTCGTAAAAAATGATTTTGAAACAGGAAGTGACCAAAAACAATTGAATACGTCAATCAATCCTAGTTTATGTCATATACATAACATACCAAATCTCGTTTTTTAACTGAAGAAATAAAAAAGTTACAGGAGTGAGCCACTTTTGAGACGCACCCGGTATAATAAAAATATAATTAGATATGTGATAAAAATTAGCTGGATGAAATGAAATGCTTCCGTTCCAGTTCACGGCATAACATGATTCTCTTTTGAGAAAATATACTTTTATGTTAAAAAGCATATGTGGGGTAGCTAGCAGCCACAATAATTATAAACACTGTCTTTAACATATCTTCATAAAAAAATCTAGACTAGATAAATCTGGAGCATTTAAATATTCTATTAAGTGGTGAATGGACACCGCACAACCAAATCATATCAATTCTCTTTGATGTGGGATAAGTTTCCATTTTCGACAAATTTATGAGAATTCTTTTTGTTTTAACTGACACGAAATGCAGTGGCGGATTAAGACATATTTGCGCCCTAGGCTAATAAAAATTTGGCGCCCAATACACAGCCCCCCCCCCCACACGGAATTTTATTCTTAAACAATTTATTGTTATTGAGGAGTAGCTACAAAAAGGATATTTAATTTTTCACTACTTATTTAGAATGGAGCTGCATTTAATTCGTGTGGATTAGCTCAGTGGCGGACTAAGGATATTTCTGACCCGGGGCGGACTTTATGTGGCGCCCCGTACAACCTCACATTTAAAGTTTTAGCCTTCTAAAAAATAAAAGAATAATTATCATTTCGCTATTTAATTCACAAAGGAATTATTCTCCCCCATCTACGCAGAAAATTACGCGTCGTAAATTACATATAACGGCGCAACGCGTAAAGAGGAGTTTTGCCAAACCGACTGCACAAAGACGCCGCAGCCGGCGGTCTTTTTCGTTTGCGGCACTTTGTCGATAAATATCAAAGGATTATCGCGACAATGGCAATTTTTGATCTAATTATTTGTTTTGTTTTTAAAGAAATACCCACCAAAAATTTTGAATGTATATATTGTAATTTTGGTGTAGCAAAGCGCCTACAAACCAGGGATAATTATGCCGTCGCCGTGGCGCCTATTTTTCTTCGGCGCCCTAGGCTATATACTAGTTAGCCTATTGGGTAATCCGCCTCTGACGAAATGATAACTGTTGTCTGTTGTTAAAGTTGAACTAATGTGACAGTTATGTGTAACGTCAGACATACTAAATATAACACCAGCCAACTAGCCAAACTAAACCAAACCAACAAATGTATAGATAACCCCAACAAATGTATCAATGTAATGGATTTTTAAAAGTAAAAGTGTAAGATCTAGAAGTAACTTATTGTTGTCACCCTGTATGGGATTCGTGTATGGAACAGTCATACATCTGTAGAATATATATAATTAATTTGATTTCTGCACATACCGAAACCTTTTCGTTTTCTACTGTAATATTCTGGTACTTTCACTTAGCGCCACAGTTAACGCGTAGCGTACTAATAACTTCGATGACCATTTCTCTATTATTTAACATGGATAAAAGCCTATTACGAAATGAACAAAATTCGCTATTTAAGCTGATGTCCGATTAAATCTTTTATATTTAGAAACAAAAGAAACATATGGCAAATAGCATATTTTTCGTTAGCCGTTTCATCATTTTTTATATAATACTGGCTGCCTCGGCTAACTTTGTACCACCTAACAGTGATATGATATTTCTATTTAGAAAATATAGATACTGAAAAAAAGTACTACTGCAAGTACTGAGTATATCCATGAAAAATGACACATTTAAAGCTAGAAAGATATTTAAATTATATTGAAAATACTTGAGATGCAAACAAAAAATATAGAGAACAAAAAATTACAACAGCAGTCAAATGGATTGGTGTCAATCATTGCAGATCATTCGGTCTAGTCATTTATTCACTTCACTTCACTTCAGTTGTTATTCACTTCACTAGGTCCAAGTTAGATAGTTTCAAATAAAATGATCATGATTATGAACTTACCTGTTTGGAATTACAATCTAATTTGCCAACAACTGAAAGTCACAAATTACTTGTCCAAATACAATTAATACAGTTGGGATTAGTGTTACAACAGCAAAATAAAACACCAGTTCGCCATAATACACCAGAACACTTAACAGTAGACGAGCGTTGTGCTAACCATCGGTAGATGACTAAAAATGAAAGTTAAATGAATCTTAAACTTTAAACTGATAATTATTAATATAAATTATATTAATTGTTTCTATTTTTTAATGAATAATTTATTTTTATTATTAACATTTAGATTTCTATCTAAATTAGATCGCGAAAATCTTCTAATGAGCCAGTTGCATGTGAAACCCTGTATAGATTATGACGAATGGTATTTTACAGATCAGAATTTCTGTACAAAGCAATAATGAATAAAAATACCGTATGATATGAAAAAAACGGCGTCAAAGACGGCTGGGGAATGACAATTGATAATAACTTTGGCAAAGTCAGTCTCTAGACGTTACTTACTAAAAATTGACAGAAATTATTGAAACATTAAAAAAGGATAGAACGTTTCCAGACACACACACACATATATATTTTCAAAAAAAAAATTATCGAATTTTAAACTACACCATTTAAAAATCATTTTTACTCAATATGATAATAAATTACAATTTTCTTATGGCCAACTGGCAGTAAGCGCCATTTAAAAATAAGGTAGAATGAAGGCCAAGTATAACGATGTCTAGTTCTTGACCGCGCCAAAATTATTATTGATTATTAATCCCCAGCCGTCTTTGACGCCGTTTTTTTTCGATCGTATAACGGTTTTTTCGATCGTATCGATATATAGCAGTGATGCATATGGTAATATACTATACCGGGT